TCTTGAGAGTCGTCATGCGCATCATCAATATCATCCTCAACGGCCTCCATGTATTCTTTTTCATCGGTCTCCTCTGAGGCAGCTTCCTCCTCAACCTCTTAAGCTAATGTGCGAGTGCGACTAGACCCAACAGCTCCTCTACTCCTTTGTGCTCTAGTGTTAGGTCGATCTTCTTCATTAGCCCCTGTTGCTAGCTCGACATCAAGCCATGTAAAATCCTCACCCACAAACACATGCTCTTGTCTTGGATCCATGGTCCACTCACTTATGGAATCACCATCAGTTTCATATAATTGAATAAGGTTGAGCTTCGTGCGATTTTCATACCTCTCCCTAAGCCGCTCGTTATACCGCACATAAACCAAATCATTCAACTTTTTCTGCTCCAACCTATTTCTTTTTTTTGTATGGAGCTGTGGTAGAAATTTGAAATAAGATAAATTAGATTTTAGATTAGAAAATTGAAATTCAAGAAATAAGGATTAAGGAATAAGGACTAAAGGACTTACATGCTCAAATGCACTCCAATTGCGCTCACAACCAAATGAACTACATGTGAGATTCAACACTCGAATAGCGAGACGTTGTAGATTTGGTGTCTCATTTCCATATAATGCCCACCAGTGCAGCTGTATAATATTTTATAATTTAGAATATAGTTAAAAATTAAGGGTATAAAATAAACAATGGAACTATACATAAAGTAAAAGACAAGTAAGATTATTTTTGGGCTTTTGCCCTTTACCTGGATCTGAAGTGTCCCTATTTGAGTGGCAATATCTCTCCCAAAGTTTCCCAAGGCTAACTTGAACTTAATCAATTCATAGCTCTGGATCTCATCCTGGATATCTTTGTCTGGCACCAACCTCTACAGCACATCTAAGAACCCACCATTTATTACACGATCTGACTCAATGGATGGGTGCTTGTAGTGAAAAGAAGCGTTTAGAAAATATCCGGCTGAATGGAGGTGCCTGTGAAGCTAGGTATCCCATCTCCTATCAATAATTTCAAGTATAGCCTTGCGAATATTTTCATTATCCTTTAAAACATCTTTTATTTCAGTTCTTACCCTAGTCATTGCCTCATGTATGTCACCAATGTCGAGCTTCGCATCACCATCAACCAGTCGAAACACTCTCACTAAAGGGCAAGCCACCTCCAATGCAAGAATTATTTGACTCCAAAAAGATGTATTCAAAATAATTTTTTCAATCTTTTTCCCATCCTTATGCTTTGACCATTTGCTTTGACTCCATTGCTCTGAAGCAAACATGGTCCTCAAGGCACTTTTTTGCTTGGCTAGGCTTCGAAGAGTGAGAAATGGCGTGGCAAATCTAGTGATACCCGGTCTCACTAATTCTCTCTTCTTTGTAAAAAACCTCATCATGCTTAGGACTATAGTACGATTGTAAATAAATCCAACATAGCTCTTGAAATCACCCCACTAAATAAAGATGTTGTACCCATTTCCTTAAGCATAAGATTAACACAGTGAGTTGCGCAAGGAGTCCAAAACATATGCTTCCTTTTCAAAGTCAAGAAATGCCCAGCTGCAGCATAGTTGGCACCATTATCAGTGATAATTTGTACCACATTTTGCTCCCCAACAAAATCGACAATCTCATCCATCAAGCCACATAAGTATGTACCATCATGTGTGACTTGTCTGATGCATCAATAGACTTAACAAAAAAAGTACATGTTGGGCAGTTAACCAAAAAATTAATAGATGCCCTTGATTTCCCATTGGACCAACCATTACACATAATAATCGCCCCATATTTCTCCCACCCTTCTCTCTGAGAAATCAAAATTTTATTCACATCAAATACAACATCCTTCAACAAGGGCTCCCTAACCTCATGTAGTGAAGGAGGAATAAGTCCTGGGCCATATTGCCCAATTGCCTGGACCATACATGCAAAACTATTCAGAGCTATAGTATTAAAAAGAACGCCGACCATGAAAATCAACTTTGCAATCCACTTACATACCGACTTCCTTTGTTCTTTCTTATATTTATTTTCAATTGTGGTTTGTTTGTTTTATTCTCTCTCCTGAACCACAATTTCGGGGCTAAGGATGAAAAAAGAATCCATT